GCTGTCCCCTCCTGGGCACAGACCCCTCCGTGTCCTGCGGCACCAGGTCCCCAGGGGCACGTGCGGCCGACGTGTGCGAGGCAACGTTTCGGGTCCCTTAAAGGATGAGGGGACAGATACAGACGCACGTGGCGCCCCATTGCATGTCGGGCAGGCCTCTTGCAATAAGTTCATGGGTTCACCAGTGTCACCCTCGGGCTCTTGACATGAACTGCAGTCCTTCAGAGGCGACTGTGTCCTTCACTCGAAACTTAACATTTCGCGCTCATCCCCGCTTCCAGCCGCGCTCATCCCACGTCCGCCTTCCACTCACCCCACTTCCGCCCGCGCTCACCCACTTCCGCCTTCTGCCCATCCCCACTTCCGCCCGCGCTCATTCCACTTCCTCCCTCCACCCATCCCCACTTCCGCCCGCGCTCATCCCACTTCCGCCTTCCACTCATCCCCACTTCCGCCCGCGCTCATCCCACTTCCGCCCTCCACTCATCCCCACTTCCGCCCGCGCTCATCCCGGCTTCTGCCCTGCGCTCAGACCCGCCCCGTTGGGACGGCGCAGCCCACATACCTGCACCAGCCTCCAGGCCTCGCTGATGATCGCGTACTGCAGGCGATTCAGGGCGAAGCCTTCGATCTCCTTTTGGACCCTGATCGGGGCCTGTCCTATCTTCTGCATCAGGGCGTGGGTCCTGTCCACTGTCGCAGGGGCCGTCTCTGGGTGTGGCACCAGCTCAACCAACGGGACGTAGTACGGCGGGTTTACCTGATGAGAGCGACGGGAAGGGAGCGGGTCAAAGGACAGCTCGGGGTGGGGTTCTTGAACACTCCCCGAATTGTCGCTGTCCAGACAGCCGGCCTGGCACAACCGACTGGCCCCAGGCCCGCAGGAGATGCCCCCAAGTGCTGCTGGCAGAGTGTTCTTCTTCTGTGAATGGATGACAGTTGGTAGAACCTCGTGGTTACTAACCAGGAGAAGCACCCATTTTAAAATGACTCCTACAGAAAAGGAAAAGTGTGTTTCTGCCAGGGCACTGCTGAAGAGAGGCGGCTGGTCCTCACTCCGCCAAGCTTCAGGGGCTCCTGCTCCCGGCCTGTCCTGGTCACACGCCTGTCCTTGGAATGCAAGAGAGGGTGGCACCTGTTTTGAAATAAATTCTAAATAAATGCCTTACTTAAAGCGCTTGTTCATGGAATCCTTATAAAAACATTTCACCTCTGGCCTTTTTAGAACACCATAATCGGAAATGGGAGTGTCTGTCTCAGGAACTTTGTCTCACTAAACAGATGCTGGGCTCAGGGTCTGTTCACTGTTATAAGCCTCCTGGGTAACAAAGCGGGTGGGGACAGACACCTCACTACTTGTTCCCTGTGTCCATCCTCCTGGCAGGCTCTCCTGCCCACACTGAGTGATGGTGCTCCAGGCTGCACACCTAGCTTCCCTCTGTGCCCAGAGTCCCCAGGAGGGCTTGTCAGCTCCCACAGCGGCGTTAGTGCCATCAAGATGCTGACATCTCCCACGGCACACACCTCCCACTCCAGGCCCACATTCCTAGCTGTGCACTGGACACACCCTCAGACATCTCACAGATGTGCCCACAACCTGTCATAAATCAAACTCACATCTCTCCCACCCTGACACGTGCCTCTTCCTAGCACCCCATCTTGATGAGAACGCCCAAGCTAGTACCACGAGAAGCATCCTTGGTCCCTGCCTTCCCCTCACCTCGCCCCCAACTTCCCATCACTAATAACCCTCTGTCTCAAAAACCCCACTCCCTGTGCCACACGCCTCGCTCAGGCCAACACTGCCAGCTTGGGTTCTGGCACTCCCCTCCCCTCGCCGGCCCCCTGCTGCAGGCTCCACCTCTGTGCCCCTGCCAGGGTGACCCTCTGTAAGGAGGAGCTGTCAAAACCATAGAGACGGCGCAGAAGGGAGAACTGTGGCAGCCAAGGGCTGGGGGAGGGGGATAGGGAGCTGTCGTTTAAGGGGACAGTTTCGGTTTTACAAGATGACAGTTCTGGAGATGGAGGTGGTGATGGCTGCACAGCAGTATGTATGTGGTGAATCCCATGCACCTGTAGCCTTAAAGATGGTTACGAAGGTAAATGTGGTTACGTGAGTTTTATCACGGTTAACTGTTTTTTTAAAAAATTAATGACCCTGATCACACCATCGCCAGCTCGGAGTCCCGCTGCAGGCCCCCAGCCCCGCGGGCCAAGTACTCACGGGGTGAGCCACGATGCACTGCTGCACATGCGCCAGCCCCGTGAACAGCCGGGAGGGCAGGAGGCACGAGGTGGAGCTGCTGAGGACCACGTCGTCACCGACCAGCCCGTCCAACCGCGCAAAAATCTCCTTCTTCAGTTTCAGGTCTTCCGGGACGCACTCCTGCAAAGGACACATAGTCACCGCTCACGGTCGCCGCCCTCGGGCCCCGAGCCGCTCCTGAAATGAACCAGTTCGAAAACCGCCAGCCAAGGATAAGGAAAAAACAAAAAGCCGCCCGAACTGTGATAAATCTCGCTAACTCTGGGAATTGGGCGATGCGCATGGGGGAATTGTATTTCCTAGTTCTGTGACCCAGCAAGTCCGCGTCTGGGCATTTACCCGAAGAGATCCAAAACATGAGGTGGACGAGACACGTGAACCCCTGTGTCCACGGCAGCGCTAGTCCCGACGGCCCACACA